ATTTCAAAATAAGTTAAACAGCTGGAAAAATTAACCACAACTGAGAAGTATCTATGGAACACAGAATCATAATAATTCAAGACAGGCATGGCTAAAATTGGGGACCCTTAAGAAAGAAACCAAATGAATTAATAGAATTAGTACTAACAGCAAATGTCAACTCTGCCAAGAAAAAAATGAAAATGTGTCACACTTTGTCTGTGAATGTTCAAAGATTGCACAAACAGATTAAAAAGTTAGACATGACAGAGTGGCAAAGTTAGTGCCCTGGGCATTATGCAAAAAATATAACCTGCCGGCCTCCAAAAACCCATGGGAGCATCAGGTAGAGAAGGTGTCAAAAATGAGGAAGTCAAGATCTTGTGGGATTTCTGGATTCAAACGGACAGACACCTTGAACATAACACACCAGACAGAGTAGTGATAGACCGAAGAAAGGTCTGGATAATTGACATTGCAATTCCAGGGGATGCCAGAGTTGAAAATAAAGAATTGGAAAAACTAATCAAGTACAGAGACCTGGCCATCTTGCATCTGGAAAAAGCACACTTCAGTGGTCCCCGCAGTCATTGAGGCTTTGGGAACAATATCAAGAAATTGCATACAGTACTGTAAGCAGTTGCAAATCTCAGAAATCACACCACCACCATCAAAGGAAGAAAGAAAAAAAAAGCAATATGAGGAACAGCATACATAGTGTGTTGATATTTAAGGTCTTTGATTAAGACTTGCATTGCTTTATAATTTCAATCAATGTTTTTATAATATTGATTGACTGTGCCTGGTGTTTTTGAATCATCATCATCATCCCCTCCATGGGCATAGGCCTTGTTGAGGCTTGCGTGCTTCAGTGAGCTTGACAGCTATGCAGAAGGGTCTCCCCAGCCAGACAGGTCTCAGCTGAGAAGCCAGACCTACTGTGTCTACCAACCATCCATTAGGATGAGAAGGAATAAAGAGAAATCCATACCAGATCAGCCATCGCCCAGGTCAACAAGGACCACATCAGAAGCTATAGCCTCTGGACATCTGGTGACAAAATGGGCTCCAGGGCTCAGCAGACCCTGTTGAGACAGCAGGACAGCCTGCTGCACAGCGACTGGAACAATGTAAATGCAAGATCGAGAAATTATCAAATGTTATTGCGAGGCAAACCCAACAGCCCGTGGTTTTCAAAAAAGAATGATGGAAATTTGGGAAAGGAAACACCCAAGTATGTAGTGACATAACTGAAGCACGATTAATGGACCAGAGAAAGTTTATCATCTGGAGTAAAGTGTTTTCAGGACTGGAATTGGAAGAACTAGAAAAGGTGGCAAAATCAACACAGAACAAGGACCATAATAGGGAAGACAAATGGAGGGCAGAGGTTGACACAACAGTGGAAGAAGACAGATCAATAGAAGAACAACCCAGAAATTATGAGTTGACAGAACGGCAAACATCACTGAGGGGAAAAATGAGTAACCCATATTAGCCAGAACACAGAAAGACAAAGGTTCTCCACTTTACGCCCATTTCAAAGTAAACCAGTAAAAGGTCTACTGCATGATGCAAATGTTGTCACCAGAACAATCCCAACCAAGGGAATAAACCAGCTCATGTGTAGCACGGCTACCATAATAACCATGGAACTTGGTTAGAGGCTGCAAAAAACCCAGAAAACTCCTGGCACTCCAAAATGGAAAATTCGGGTGGAATGGGAAAAAAATTACGTGCAGACATTAGCAACTGAAAACACTTGAAAGATTCAAAACTTAAAAATGAAAAAGTAAAAGCCAGATTATGCAAAATATAAAACCTGAAAGGAAAATGATTATGGAAACTATGGAAGAACTAAAACAGTGGGTAAGAGCTACAGCAAAGAAAACTGAAAGATATGAGGGATGCTTAAAACAATAAAGAGAAAACACGTAATTTTCAAATAACGAACTATTATTCTATATGTCATGAGGAGAAAATGCAGAGCAAAAGAAATTAAGCCCATATAGAGATCATGACCTAAAATGTTGGAAAAAAATGTGGGAAAGCCCAACCAGACAAAACAAAAACGCCTCATGGATTAAAGACATTTGTAAAGAAACTCAAGGAAAACAAATGGATGATATTGTAATAGCAAGTGGAATAATTAGATGGAATAGAGTTTTAAAATGGCAGTATTATAAA